ATACAGCCATTTTGTAGAAAACAGAAACACTTTTCCCAGGAAAGAGGATCGAAAATAATTATAAAGACAGGGTTTGCAAATCTGAATGAATGGAGTTTTCCCACTCCTTATCGCTGTACGGATCTTTGGTATGGAGACCGTGATCACCCCTACTTTTATGGCCCAATGGCAAAGGAGACGGGGGTGGCAGGGTTCACTGCAATTTACGCTACAAATTGCTCTAACGCTAGCCTTGGCCCTGGCAATAACTCCGATACCTATAATTTCATTTAGACCAAACCAAACCTCAACCCTAACCTTGATGTCCGTGGAATGAAAGAGCAAAGCGGGTTTTATAATGGACAAGGATTCTTCTCATATCCTCACTTGGAAGTCATATATAAGTACCCCGAGTGGAAAAGCTCTGAAATATAAACCTTGTTTACTTTGGTAAGTAAGAGTCAGCAAAATATTTTCAGCCGATAAGTCTGTCAGATGATAATTTGTTAGTGCACTGACCCAAGAGCCCATAAATAGCCCGAAAATAGCATAAATGGGATGTACTGGTTTGCTAAGAGGTTCAACAATATCCTACACTTTGCAAGACGGTTAATAAATTAAACGATGCGATGCTTTATTAATGGACACTGTTTTGCCATATATAATCTCGAAACTAGGAACATTAAATATATACTTTCGCTATAAGTGCACATTTTGTGCAAAAATGCAATTTTCTACGACACGACTGGAAGAAAAAATTATTTATGTGCATGATTCTGCATAAAATGTATTTGAATTGCTAAGGGCATTAGAAATTAATAAAAAAAAACGACTCCGTTTTATCTATAATAATATTTTAAAGTGTTTTTCCTGCAGCGTCCTCATAAAAATCGTTCGAAAACCAGTATCCTAACGCCACCGCAATACTGGAGGCACGTAATCAATAGTGCCGCCATACCTAAATAATATAATTGAATCTAAAACACCAACTTATAAAATGTCAAGCGAAATTCTAAAATGCATTTTCGATCAAGTTTGGTTGAAATATTTACTAACACGTACCTTAATCTTAATATATATCAGGAAATGCCAGATGCAGGCTTTGGAGCGAGCTTCTTTTTGATCACTGGCAAAAAGTATGTTCTTTCGAAAGCAGCTACTTAAGTAGTATGCCTTTTCTGAATTTTTTAGTTGACTTTATGAATTAACTATAAGTGATAGAAAAAAATCCACACAAACATATTCATTCGTGTACTCATTTGTTAGCAAACAAAGCCTTCTTCAAAAAGTACCATTCGGATTCAAAAAAGTTTCCTATTAAGAGTTTATTACCACCATGAAATGTGTATTAACAAAGCTACGGATTTTTCCAGTTGTCAATTATATAACCTTGTTTGGCCTAATAGAAAATGTTTATGAGACTTATAGGTGATTGTCCTCACACCCTAGGGAAGTATTTGCATATATTAATACAGAAGGTATACAGTATGTAGT